TCCAGGGAGACATGAAAATTATGCATAATATACACTTTAAAACGATTTATTATTAACTTAAATGAGGTTGAAAAAAAATTGATAATCATAACAATTGTACATAAATAATGGTAAGGTGTGAAACGCTAAAAGTACAAAATTAACTAGGTACGAATATCACTCATGTGGTTATACTTGGTTTTTATCGCATATCACTTATCAATGGCATTTCTGTTTTTGTTTACCTTTAAATTTGCCGATTTTTGAGAAAATTTTCATTGTTATTTTGAGAATTTATCAGTCATGAATTGGGAAATTTGTTGTCTATTTTCTATTGGGAACGGTACCATTTTCCGGTATCAGTTATATAAGGAAAAAAACACTGTAAACAATTGTTTAGGGATCGGGAATAGATAAACCAGCGGAACACCTGCCTTTCTAGTCTAGAGTATTAGAATGTTCAGTTATAAGCTTAAATATATCCACTGAAAAAATAAAAAGAGTAACCCAAAATAGATTTTTAAGTTGAACATAATCAAATACTGCATCTGGCACAGTTAACATCATAAGTTTCTGCAGTGGACAGTTTCCAAGCACGTGCAGAAGATAATAATTATGTTAACATCAAAAATGAACAATCACTTGCAAATAAATGCCAGCTTGAGTAATTTTTGCTGGCAATATTATATTTTCACTGGCATTTTTCCAGTATGCAAGCTTAAATTCGAAGCCTGCCAAGTGTCCGCACAGATATGTATATGACGTTGATTTACTCCAGATAAAGGCTTGGGTGTTTTATTTCTTTATTTTTAACATGATATACAGTAGCAAATGCTGAAGTTTTGGATATTCTATTGTTTACTCTGCAAATGATTATAGCTAGTGTAAGAGGTCAGGTATTGCACTCTTGATGTTCAAATTTTCAATGTCAACATTCTGGAAATAGACAAGATATTACCATTTAAGAAAATTGAAACAAATTTTGTCATTTAGTTTTAGAAGAAATATGCATAAAATGTTGATAACAAAAGGACTGATAGATCTGGACAATCACTGGACAAAGAAAAAACTGAATCAGACATTTTTCAGTGCCGTTCACAACTTCGGGTTTGGTGGTTGTAGGGTTTTGGTGGTCGCTGACCAGTAATATATGTATATTTTTCAAATATCTTTGAAGTTCATCCCAATCAGGCAACAAAGAGTTGGATGGCATCCAATGATACCCCTGCCTTGAGCAGATAATACTTAATACACTGCATTTTTATATGTTGTTGTGTTATGGGGGACCTGAAACCATGGATTAAAAGAAGAGCACTTACAGAAAGATTTTCCTTGTTCAAATAATATTTTAATACACCATTTCTCTTTTCAGGTTATATTCAATGCAGCTTTATTGTCCCCCGCCTTTTCGAAGAAAAAAGGGGGATATAGTAATAGGCTCCGTCCGTCCGTCTGTCCGTCCGTCCGTCACACTTTCGTGTCCGGTCCATAACTTTGTCATTTATCAAAGGAATCTGAAATAACTTGGCACAAATGTTTGTTATAATAAGACGATGTGTCATGCGCAAAAACCAGACCCCTAACTCCAAGGTCAAGGTCGCACTTGCTCATTCAAGGTCACATTGTCTATTTGATGGTATATGTCGTGTCCGGTCCATAACTTTCTTATCTTTGAAGGGATTTTGTAAATACTTGCCACAATTGTTCACAGTAATGAGACGATGTGTCGCGCGCAACAACCGGTCACCTACCTCCAAGGTCAAGGTCACACTTGGAGGTCAAAGATTAACATAGTCTATTACAGGGTATATTTTGTGTCCGGTCCATAACTTTTTCATTTATCAAAGGAATCTGAAATAACTTGGCACAAATGTTTGTTATAATAAGTCGATGTGTCATGCCCAACTACCAGACCCTTACCTCCTCATTCAAGGTCAACATTGTCTATTTGAGGATATATGTTGTGTCCGGTCCATAATTTTCTTATCTTTGAAGGGATTTTGTAAATACTTGATGTGTCATGCGCAACAACTGGTCACCTCCCTCCAAGGTCAAGGTCACACTTGGAGGTCAAAGATTAACATAGTCTATTACAGTGTATATTTTGTGTCCGTTCCATAACTTTTTTATAGATCAAAGGATTTTGTAAATACTTGCCACAAATAGTCACTATAGTAAGACAATGTGTCATGCGCAACATCTGCATCCCTACCTCCCAAGTTCAAGGTCACACTTAGAGGTCAAAAGTTTACGTATTCTGTTTTAGGGTATATTTTGTACTTCTTCAGGATTTTGAAATAACTAGGCACAAATAGTCACAATAATAAGACAATATGTCAGATACAACACCTGCACCCCTACCTCCTAGGTCAAGGTCACACTTAGAGGTCAAAGGTTAGCTGAGTCTGTTATATGGTTTATTTTGTGTCCCGTCTATAACTTCTTCATAGATCAAGGGATTTTGAAAATACTTGGCACAAATAGTCACAATGATAAGATAATATGTCATGCATAACACATGTGTCCTTACCTCCAAGGTCAAGGTCACACATAGAGGTCAAACATTTACATACTCTGTAATAGGGTATATTTTGTGTCCAGTCCATAACCTGGGATTTTAAAAATACCTTGCACAAATAATCACAATAATAAGATGATATGTCAGGTGCAAAACATGGGCCCCCTACCTCCAAGGTCACACTTAGAGGTCAAAGATTGACATAGTCTGTTATAGGGTATATTTTGTGTCCAATCTATAACTTCTACATAGTTCAAGGGATTTTGAAATTACTTAGCACAAATAGTAATATTAATTAGATGATATGTCATGCACAACACCAGTTCATCACCCCTACCTTTAAGGTCAAGGTCACACTTAGAGGTCAAAGGTTAACATGATAGAATTTTACATTCCGTGTTTCATTTTACTAGTATTTCTTTAATAAATTCATTGTTGCATTTGTAGATCTAGCATTGATCATAATTTTGGAATGAAAGTCCTGACAGCCATACCTCAATCTTTTGAAATAGCGCAATTTTATGCTTCATATAAAACTTCCCGAGGCGGGGGACGTTGGTAACTCTGTTACAAATTCTTGTTACAAATGTAATGTATATATTTCATTAACATTCATTGCATAACTGTCAAAAACCATATGTACTAAGTACAAAATTTGTTTATACTATACAACTAAATCTTTTACACTGGTTGCATCGGCTTGAGAATAAATGTTTTAAGGTGTAACCAGGCAAATTCTGCACTGCTGAGTTACCTCTAAATAGTTACCTCAGAGCCTGATTGTCTTGTCAGTATTGACAACCTGTGTTTGATTCTTTCAGAGTCCAAATTACAAAAAAAGTAATATTCGGTTAGTATAATAATGATTGACAGTATTTTTAGGAGTAGTGCATGAATTAACAACTTCATTTGTATGCAAAAATGATGTCATACTCAGCATCCAGATATCAATTTCAATATAAGTTCACCAAATCTACTTTCAAACAATATACTGTTCTTCTCATTAGCTCATTATTTACCTGTATAATTTTCAGTACTTAATTTGAACAATTTATATGCATGCTTGTTTACTAAAATTTTGGAATAAATACATGTGTACAGGATGGAAAGCGTCAAGTTCCATGGAGGATGAGACAATTTTTCTGGAGAGCTTCATAAATGACAATAGCAGTGTAGAGAATGGTGAATCTGCTATGCAGTATTGGAGGAAATGTGCAGCTGCACTAAATAATAAATGCGATTTAAAATTTTATACAGAATTGAAATGCTTATGAAAAAAAGATAATAAGGAAATAAGATAATGATTTCAGTATTCATTTGCATAACTTCAAGAACCATGCATTTTATTGTTAGACATTGGCAACACAAAACATGTTATTTTATAACTTTTAAGTGAGGTGTTTAGGGCTGCTATAATATTTTTTATTAATAATGTTACATTTAATGTATGAAAACTAACAGAGAGGAGCTTTTTTATATTGACTATGAAACTATGAAGCAAACAGAATATTTCTGCAAAAAAAATCTTCATAATGGTGGAAAGTTTGACAATATAGTATATAATATTATCACATAAACCGCGGTGCAGGAGTGTAATAAAGCCATTTAATAAAAACAATACACTAGTGGAATAACACTTTGACGTGACGTCATTTGCACTATATAGAAACATCGCGTTAAAATGTGCTAATGTTAGCGTTACACTATAGGCGCGTCATTGAAAAATACTCATTTTAACAGTTTATTGTTCTTACTTTATATATGTGATAAATAGAATATTATATTCGTGTAGATTCAATACTAAATAGAGCTGTCACTGCCAATTAGAATATCTTTTTATTGTGTTGCAATACAGCTTTTATTTTGTGATCGCTTTTCCTCCAGCGTCTGTGCGGCGTCCATCAGTAAACTTTTACTTTAAACGACATCTTCTCATAAACCGCTGAGCCAATTTCATCCAAACTTCACAGGAATGTGTATTTGGTAGTCAACTTTAAAAATTGATCAAAGAATTTAATTCCAAGCAGAACTCTGGTTGCCATGGCAACCGAAAGAACAAACTTAATATATTTTCTTTTAGAAAAGCAAAAGAGCTAGAGCTTAAATATTTTGAATGAAACATCATCTAGTCAGTGTCTACAAAGTTTATTCAAATAAATGCCATGGGGTAAAAAATGACCCCACCCCAGAGGGTCATTGTTTTTTGTATATTGTAAAAACTTTAAGAAATCCTCTTTTAAAAACCCTAAAGAGCTAGAGCTAAAATATTTAGCATGAAACATCTTCTAATGGGTGTCTACCAAGTTTGTTCAAATAAGGGTTGAAATTGGCCCCACCCCAGGGGTCATTGATTTTCTTTATATGTGTATAGTAAAAACTTTAAAAAATCTTCTTATAAAAAACCCAAAGTGCTAGAGTTTAGATACTAAGCATGAAATATCTTCTAGTCATTGTCTACCAAGTTTGTTTAAATAAAAGCCCTGGGGTCAAAATGTTTTTGTTTTTCCCTATATGTTAATAGTAAAAACTTAAAAAATCTTCTTATCAAAACCCCAAAAGAGCTAGAGCTTAGATATTTATCATGAAACATCTTCTAATGGGTGTCTACCAAGTTTTTTCAAATAAAAGCCCCTGGTTAAAAATTGGCCTTGGCCCAGGGGCCTTTATACAGGAGAGCGATTTCAGGGCCATCATGGCCCTCTTGTTTTATTAAATAGAAGACTCATGCAAACGTATGGCCAAGCGTCTGTCTGTCAATGCCTGCAAACCAGTGTCATCAACTGTTAAAGAGCTTGAACTGGGGTTCAGAGAACTAAATGACATAAAAACAGTTGACATTGGGACACAGACCGATTTATCACTGCCAGTAAATTGTGCCAGGTATATTCACCCTTCAACAATTTACTTTAATTTCTTCAAAATATTTAATTTAGAAAATAAATTAAAATACATCTGTAAATATTATTATAATACTGCATTTTTATAACATCAATTTTCATTGGATACTTGTGACGTTTATATAGTTTTATATACATAGCTGTTGTCAATTTATAAAGAAATCTCACCTTTTTCTCTGGAAAAGGAAATTTTCTATATTACAAATTCATCATAAATATTCCTGACAGGTTATATGACTGTATATAAATGGTTTGTTTCTCAAAAATCTAATAACTAATAATACTTTCAGCTTTTTTATACAAACAACAAGACATGAATTGTTTTTACATAGCCATAAGTCAGGTAAAGTAATGTTACAGGTAATTTGTGAAAATACAGGAAGCTGTTCATAAAGTAAAATTGAACCCATCAATGTATCAGTATGGATTAATTTAATATAAAATATATTATAAATTTATATGACCTTATTGGGAATCTGTAACTGTATGAAAATGTTTAGCTATCAATTTTCATTTATATAGTTTTGGTGAAACTGACAGGAACCCAGGAGATTGGGTGTTTGTTGAGCCCAAGAGAGACTTAAAGGTATACCTCACAGAATTTAATCATAACCTAATGCTTTTCATAACTATGTTTAAGGCAAAATCTGTAGTGAGCAATAATACTTTCAAGTCATTGTTTTATCCACATGATGTATTGCGATATGCTTTTTAGCTCACCTGAGCTTGCTCAGGGTGAGCTTTTAGGATCGGTGAATGTCCGTCGTCCGTCGTCCGTCGTCCGTCGTCCGTCCGGCCGTCCACAATTACTTGTGAACACTCTAGCGGTCGCATTTTTGCCTCAATCATCATCAAACTTGGTCAGGATGCTTATCTAGTTGAAAGCTCGGATGAGTTCGAACATGGGTCATCTCGGATGAAAAACTAGGTCACAAGAGCTAAAAATAGAAAAACCTTGTGAACACTCTAGAGGTCACATTTTTGACCCAATCATCATCAAACTTGGTCAGGATGTTTGTCTAGGTGATAGCTCGGATGAGTTCGAACATGGGTCATCTCGGATGAAAAAGTAGGTCACAGGAGCTATAAATAGAAAAACCTTGTGAACACTCTAGTGGTCACATTTTTGAACCAATCATCATCAAACTTGGTCAGAATGCTTGTCTAGTCAATTGCTTGGATGAGTTCGAACATGGGTCATCTCTGATGAAAAACTAGGTCACAGGAGCTAAAAATAGAAAAACCTTGTGAACACTCTAGTGGTCACATTTTTGACCCAATCATCATCAAACTTTGTCAGGATGCTTGTTTAGATAATAGCTCGGATGAGTTCGAATATGGGTCATCTCGGATGAAAAACTAGGTCACCGGAGCTATAAATAGAAAAACCTTGTGAACACTCTAGTGGTCACATTTTTGCATCAATCATCATCAAACTTGGTCAGGATGCTTATCTAGTTGATAGCTTGGATGAGTTCGAACATGGGTCATCTCGGATGAAAAAGTAGGTCACCAGAGCTAAAAATAGAAAAACCTTGTTAACACTTTAGCGGTCACATTTTTGCATCAATCATCATCAAACTTGATCAAGATGCTTGTCTAGGTGATAGCTCGGATGAGTTCGAACATGGGTCATCTCGGATGAAAAACTAGGTCACAGGAGCTAAAAATAGAAAAACCTTGTTAACACTCTAGTGGTCACAATTTTGCCTCAATTGTCATCAAACTTGGTCAGGAAACTTGTCTAGGTCATTGCTGGGAATAAATCGAACATGGGACATTTCGGATGAAAAACTAGGTCACAGGAGCTAAAAATAGAAAAAATCTTGTTAACACTCTAGTGGCTACTGTTGTGATCCAAATATTCTGTTAATTGGTCTGAAAGTTTGTTTTGATGATTTCTAAGTCAAGATCGAACATGGGTCATCTTGGATGAAAAAACTAGGTCACACCGCCAAATATGGAAAAACCTTGTTAACATTCTAGTGGTCACATTTTCGACTCAATTATCATCAAACTTGGTCAGGATGTTTGTCTAGGTAATTGCTTGGATGAGTTCGAAATCGCATGTGAAACTAGGTCACCGGAGCTAAAAATAGAAAAATCTTGTTAACACTCTAGTTGCTACTATTTTGATCCAAGTATCCTGGAAATTGGTCTGAAAGTTTGTTTTGATGATTTCTAGGTCAAGTTTGAATATGTGTCACCTGGGTAAAAAACTAGGTCGCACTGCTCAAATATGGATAATCCTTGTTAACACTGTAGTGGTCACATTTTTGACTCACCTGTCATGAGACTTGGTCAGAATGCTTGTCTAGGTAATTGTTTGGATGAGTTTGATAATTCAGGTGAGCGATCTAGGGCCATCATGGCCCTCTTGTTGATATAACTTTCAGGTGTACTGCTACAACATAGGGATAGTTTATTTGTTATGAATAAGGTAGCGAATTAATTGTCCAGTAAAATTAACTATAAAAAACTAACATTTTTAAAACTATATAAATGAAAATTGATAGCTAAACGTTTTCATACAATTACAGATTCCCAATAAGGTCACATAAATTTATAATATATTTTATATTAAATTAGTCCATACTGCATCAATTCTATTCAAAAGCATCTTAGGAGGTTGTATTTTAGATTGGGGGTAGGGGAAGTTGACAACCATGCATTTTAAATATTTTTCAGGAAACTTCAAATCCAGGTGCAAAATTATTAAATAAAACAGCTGTGAAACGTCTCCGGTCATTTCCAGATATGAAGAAAGGGGACAGAGCTATTCTTATAGACTTATTATGTAAGTAAACAATTTTGCTTCTGTTTGATTGTTTGAAAGTTCTCCTGTAAATGACATAACTGCTGTTAGCTGTACTTTTCAGAACCATAAAGATCGAACAATAATGCACAGCTTATTTGCTGATAAACTTATTTTGTAATAAATTTTGGAAATAACAAAATGAATTACTATTTATAAAATACATGGTATCACGTAGTGTTCTTCTTTGTTAACTCTGTTGAAGAACAATCTAAAATACTTATATAAAATACAGACATTATCATAATTCAGGTACTGGATCTTCAAGACAAATAGCTAGGGCAGTCATGGCATCTCCTCTGTTTGAAGAAATTAAAACAATGATATTAAGTGACATAGAGATTGATGCCCGTGAATGTGCCAATACAGGCAGTGCCTTGTACTGCAACAATTACCATGAATTAATGCAGTTCAAATGGGATGCAATATTGACAGAATTAATAGATAAACAAACATTTTTAGCTGAGGTTTTGATGGCTGTTGCTTATCCAGTTCATATGATTGGTAATAGTAAGAAATCAGAAAGTCTTGTTCCAGTTTTGAGCACTGTTTATGGAATTTTAATGAAACATAGGTTCAAGAAACTTTCTCTGATACAGAAAGTGGTGTCCATTGCCCTAGCTAATGAGCATACACATCAAAAGGTTATTATGGATGTCAATTGTTTTCCTTCTTTTTTTTTTCCTTGTTTTTAGCTCACTTGAGCACAAAGTGTTCAAGGTGTGCTTTTGTGATCACAATTTGTCCGGCATCCATCATCAACTTTTATACAAACAACTTCTCCCCAGAAACCACTGGGTCAAATTTGGTGAAATTTTCCAGGTCTGTTCCTAGTAATAGTTACATGAATATAGTAAAAAAAAAGAAAAAGTATTATTCTCTGATTGTGCATGGCCTAGAGCTTATGTATTTTGTATATAGCATATATATAATATTGCCCCCCCCACCCCACCTGGGGTCAAATACTAGGTCACAAAGCCTAAATATTGGAAAACCTTGTTAACCTTCAAGGAGCTACTGTTCCAGTCTAAATATCTTGGAAAATGGTCAGAAACTTTGTAGTAATAATTTCCAGGTCAATTTCCAGGTTTTCACCCTAGAGGCTACTGTTGTGATCCAAATATCCTGAAAATTGTTCAGAAAGGTTGTTTTTGTGATAGCTCGGTCAAGTTCGAATATGGGTCATATGTGGGCAAAAACTAGGTCACACAGCCCAAATAAAATGGGATTGAGCCTTCATAATCAGGTGAAAAGCCATCATGGCCCTCTTGTTTGTTTTTTGTTTTTACAATCATGTTTCTGATATATTTCATAAGCTTTTACAGTAAACTTGGCTTAAAGCTAAAATTGATATAGCAAATTTCTGGCTATAAGGAAACATCATTTTTGGCCCAAATCAGGCCGTTCCTAATTCAAGACAAAAAAAATATTACTTTAGCAAACACTGTTATAAAGAGTTATTGCTGTTAAGGAATCTTATATTTTAATCCAAATTAAACAAAATGCACTGAAAATAACTCCAAAAGAAGCTTCTGATATAAGGAACAAATTGTTATTTGCTACAAGGAACTCTTAATATATATGGAACAAATTTTGAATGCCTCAAGCAAGGGCTAGTTTACTGTAAATTGGTTTTATGACTGATGTGTATTTTTAAGTTTTAAAATGCTTATGACAGAATAATTTAATTTACATGGTGACTTAAAATTGAATTTGTGTATGAAATTTAAATTTTATATGTTAGTGTTTCCGTTGAAGAGTTTATTTTGTCATTTATTGTGTTGCCTCTACAGAGTAGTGGCAACATATAGGGATCACTTCTCCATCATCTGTGTGTCCATCAAAAAACTTGTCCGGACTACTCCTCATAAACTACTGGTGTAATTTCATCCAAACTGTACAGGAATGGTCAGTACCAAGTCTAGTTTTCTTCAGCATTTTCCGGTTGCAAAGGTTTTTTTTTCCAGAGTTTTGACCCTTTAATTTACTTATTTTTAGCTCGACTATTCGCAGAATAATCGAGCTAATGCAGTCACCCATTTGTCGGCGTCGGCGTCGGCGTCCCTGTGGTTAAGTTTTTGTATGTAAGCTGGTATCTCCATAACTACTGAAGGGAATGGATTGAAACTTCACACACTTGTTCTCTGTGATTATCTAAGATGATTGGCACAAGTCCCATAACTCTGATTTGCTTTTTTTTATAATTATGCCCCTTTTTCGACTTAGAAATTCTTGGTTAAGTTTTTGTATGTAAGCTGGTATCTCCATAACTACTGAAGGGAATGGATTGAAACTTCACACACTTGTTCTCTGTGATTATCTAAGATGATTGGCACAAGTCCCATAACTCTGATTTGCTTTTTTTCATAATTATGCCCCTTTTTTGACTTAGAAATTCTTGGTTAAAGGGACTCCACTGAGGTTTTTTGACATGAGGGGACTGGAAATAGTTTTTTGAGATTATTACTCTATTTGATGTAGATCTGTACTAAAAGCTTATGTGCAAAATTTCAGATCATTAGCTCATTCCGTTTTTCCAAAATAATAATTATAATAGTGAAAAATGACCAAAAATTTAAAAGCGTTTAAACGCTTTTCACTCGAATCGGACAGAGAATAGCACAAACATACGATTTTTAATGTATTTCCTGTATGTTTCATAGTTATATTTCATTTATATTTCTGTTTTAATAGCTCATGTTGATCTATGTGAAAAATTAAAATTCTATGTTTTTAGGCTAATTAACCTCAGTGGAGTTCCTTTAAGTTTTTGTATGTAAGCTGTTATCTCCATAACTACTGAAGGGAATTGATTGAAACTTCACACACTTGTTCTCTGTGATTATCTAAGATGATTGGCACAAGTCCCATAACTCTGATTTGCTTTTTTACATAATTATGCCCCTTTTTCGACTTAGAAATTCTTGGTTAAGTTTTTGTATGTAAGCTGTTATCTCCATAACTAATGAAGGGAATTGATTGAAACTTCACACACTTGTTCTCTGTGATTATCTAAGATGATTGGCACAAGTCCCATAACTCTGATTTGCTTTTTTACATAATTATGCCCCTTTTTCGACTTAGAAATTCTTGGTTAAGTTTTTGCGTGTAAGCTGGTATCTCCATAACTACTGAAGGGAATGGATTGAAACTTCACACACTTGTTCTCTGTGATTATCTAAGATGATTGGCACAAGTCCCATAACTCTGATTTGCTTTTTTACATAATTATGCCCCTTTTTCGACTTAGAAATTCTTGGTTAAGTTTTTGCATGTAAGCTGGTATCTCCATAACTACTGAAGGGAATGGATTGAAACTTCACACACTTGTTCTCTGTGATTATCTAAGATGATTGGTACAAGTCCCATAACTCTGATTTGCTTTTTTTGCATAATTATGCCCCTTTTTCGACTCATGAATTCTTGGTAAAGTTTTTGCATGTAAGCTTGTCTCTCCATAACTACTGAAGGGAATGTATTGAAACTTGAAGAGTTTGTACCTTTTCGGACAATTTTATGTATTCATATAGGTAAGCATTATTATACTCAATGAAACACCCTTGTGACAAATTTTCGAATAGTCGAGCGTTACTGTCCTCCGACAGTTCTTGTTAAAGTTTGTATGGACTACTCCTCTTATGTCACTTATATTATGCAATTCCAATAAAAACTTTAGTGGATTGATCTGTAGCTCAGGTCCTTAGGCATACTGCTAGGATTTTCCAATTGAATGATTTTTAACCGAGTTATGGCTCTTTATGAAAAAAAGATGGTTATCTTGTGTGTTGCCAGATATACAAAAGCTTGTCCGCACTTTTTCTCTTAAACTACTGGTGCAATTTCATGCAAAATTTACAGAAATGATCAGTACCAAGTCTAGTTGTGCATATCATTGACACTTGATGGTTCAGTGAATTTTGTTGGAGTTATGGCCCTTTAATTATTGTTTATTCTTTAAAGTTTGCTCGCACTACTCCTCTTATACCACTTATGCAATCTCAATGAAACTTAACATGATTGATTGGTAGGCGAAGTACATGTGCATAGTACACAAGTTTTTGGCTTGAATGATTTTCAGCCAAGTTATTGCCCTTGAACTAAAATGTGTTTTGCCCTGTTAATGATTTTTGGGTCCCCTGCTTCACAGTAGCTGCAACATGCGAATGGCTATCATGAGGTGACACTTGTCATCACTGATGGCCCTTGTTATGTTTTTTAGGTTCTGTTCATCAATTGTCAAGTTAATTGCTTTCAAAAAACAAACTTAAAACAATGACAAAACAGTACCACTTTAAGTAAAAGTGAATAAATACACTGGAAATAATATGAACTTGTAGTCAAAATCAGAAAAGTTTTATTAAGAAATGTTGCATTCTTAGGTATTTATCAGTATTCAGAACAATTTTTAATTGTCTTGTGTTACATAAGAATTATTAAAAAAAATTACATTAATTACTGTCAAAACTTTTTAAGCAATAATTTTTATTTTATTTTGCATAACAGGTTTATGACAGACTACAAAGACTTGGTGTTTGTTTAAGCCACAGTGGTATGCTTGAACAGATGTCTGGCATTTCCGGAAGTTTTAATGAAGAGTTAATAAATGAGGTTAGAGAAGGCAAAAGATTCAGAATTGTAGGAGACAATGTTAATTTCCATATGCAGGTATCACAGGAACGAAGTGTTGGGAAGAAGGCTCATATTGAACATTGGTTTGGGTCTGCAGCAATCATCCAAAATGTCAACTTCAATCACTTGTCAAATGTTACACCACAGAAAGATTTGCGTCAGACTGATTGTGTATCATTCATTCCCACAAATGATGAAATGGACCTTATTGTTCATGACTTCACCATGCATTCTGCTGAAATACTTATTGAACATTTTAGTTGGCTGCAATTTGCCAAGGCTGCAGTAACTGACACTATCTATGACTTACCTGTTGGAATGGATAAAAAAAATAAGGTAATACCTTTGCCAGTTCTTCATAAAAATGAACAAAAATGTTATATGTTATACAGTTAAGATAAGGTAAAATAGGAAGAAAATTACACGTCAACACCAGGGATGTTTATATTATTTAATTATCTACCAGCCCGTCCCTAGATTTGCCACTACTTGCCAGCTATTTCCACTGAAAAGGGTGGCATTAATTGTAAAAAAGGTGAAATTAACTGGAAAATGACAAAATTCCACTCTTTTTCCACTGTAGTGGCAAAATTGCCACCAAACGCCACTATCCTTTGGTGGCATTTAGGTGGCATTGAGTGGAAATTTGAACATAGACTTTTTTCATGGTGGCAAAAAGGTGGAAATTGGTGAAAAATGAAACTTAGTTTATTTTGAAGGTGGAAAATGAGTGGCTTTTAGTGGAAAAGTGAAACTCTAACTATTTTCTGGGTGGCAAATTAGTGGAAAAAACTTAGAAATTTTTTTGAATAACTTTTAGTCGAAGAGGGAAACTCTTCACTATTTTCTGGGTGGCAGAAAACTTGGTGGAAAAAACTGAAAATTGATTGTGCATTGCAGGGTTTATAAGATTTATTTAAGTTAAAGTTCCAAACTGAAATAAACCTGTTTCTAGTTTTTAACAAAGCATCAAGTGAACTTTTTATCAAACTGACTTAAAGTCAAAAATGCCTATGTTCCATTCTATGCTTGTAAAATAAAGTTACGGCTGTAAAAGTGTACTTAGCTTTTTTAGTTGCAATCTGTACATTCAATAGTTGATATTTTCTTCAATGCCCAGAAAATGCATTTTTCTGCATAAAGTTTGTTGTGATATTTAATGTCAATCTTGAATAAAGTTTGACTTTGGTCTTTTCTTCTAATTAAGATTGGTCTCTTTAATATTACTTTAAACTGATATCTGGTGAGTACAAACACTTTTCATGTAATGCTTACAATAATTAAAGTGAAAAATGCAAAGGGCAATAACTCCAAAAGTATGCAAAAGAGTTATGGTTCGTAAACACAGCACATTACTCACAAAGATCTATATCTGTGAAGTTTCAAATTAATATCTCCAATACTTTTTAAGCTTAATGATCAAAACAAAAATTAAGCATGGAGAAGTACATAATGGCAATAAACCCCAAATCATACAAAAAAGAGTTATGGTTCCTAGGCCTTGTACTTCTCATTGAATCAATGAGATTTAGTTATATGTGGAGTTTAAAATTATTGTATCAAACATTTTTTGTACTATGCTTTGCAGATTAAAACTTTCAAAGGGCAATAACTCCATAACTTTGCAGGAGAGAGTTATGTACATGTATTTTAAAGAAGAAACAAACATGAATCAAACTTGTTAACAATAATATTTAAAAGCTATTTAATAAATATACATAAAAAATAGATCAGACTTCAAGATAATGAAGTACTGTGCTTGCTTATTATACATACACAATATAGTAATAAGTATGCCTTTCAGAGGCTTTAAATCTATTGTAAAAATAATTGTGTGAAAAGTAATTAGCTAATAATGTCTGATAATTTCTTATAATCAGGATAAGTAAATACTAGCAAGTAAATACTGCATCCTCTAAGATTTAACACACAGATCTGATAAAACTACTGCCCTCTTATCTAGTAATCTCTTCATGGGGGTTAATAGTTTACTCAAGCTGACCAGACTGTTCCATTTGATTATTTTGGGAGAGGCAACATTATACATGTTATATGTAGAATCTGTGTTAAAATAGCATGCTAAATTATCTTTCAAAAACTTATTTCTACTCAATCTATTTAGGTATTAGACATAGTTTATACATTCAAATGAATGTAAAAAATAAAATGATGGGTGCTATGGTTTTTGAATAATCCCTCACAGTTTAAAATTATAATGGAACTTTCCAGTTGTACGGTTGTAAAGTTTGAATTCAAAGGAATTGAGGTCAGTTAAAGCTTGCAAACACAAAGCAAATGATTGGTGTTGTAGCAATTCTGGAGATATTATTTTGTTTAAAATGTAAAGGTGCATATTTTTGATTTCTCAAAGAATACATTAAAAGTCTTATAAGTGTGGCAAATAGAAATGAAAAGTTTTAACTGAAGTGTGAATGTGTAGATTATAACATTAGACAAGAAGATAAACAGCAGAATCATTCCAAGTCAAAGTTTCAGGTAAGCAACTTTTACATATAACAATTATAATAATTTTTGCAGAAACTATTAATTTTTTTAACATTAAAAATATGAAGTGGTATAATGTATAAAATTATGTTTTAAATTTGTTATGTTTGTAACTTGACTAAAAAAGAAAGCTGCATTTACATATAAAGAATGTAGGAATATAAAGAATGTAGGAAGAGCTTCATCATTTCATAAATACAGTATGTTAGAAATTTTAAGTTTGAGAAAATAATTATAGAAATTAATCAGTAAGTACAAAATAATCATTAATATGTACAATATTACATCAATCAAACTATAGATAACCAGGTACCTATTACTACAACTTTCATGCTATAAATAATTTTCCTTGTGTGTCACATGTGAAGCAGATCAACAGTAACTGTTTTAATAGTAAGCTTCATTCCTTCATTGTTGTAATTCAGCTTTCATGGTGCAGTAGATAATTATATAACCATAACTAGACAGTCTAGAGTAACAAGCTGTTAGGAGAATGACAGTTCATAACAGAAACAGCATTAAATAAGAATTTTTTTTTTGCAGACACAAAGCAATGAGGAGCAGCCTGGAGCAACACACTTGTTCTTCAGTGGCTTTACAAAGGTATCTTGTTAATTCAAAGTTATTTTAGAATTGATAAGAAAGAAGTGTCACAGTACCCAATAAGACACTTTTCAGTTCTTAATAAATAAAGCTATAATGCACTATTTACAAACTTACTTTTATTCAAACTCTTAATGACACTTAAATTTGCATTAACATTTAGTTTTACAAATTTTAGAGTTTTTGTGCACCTAAGTTTGAAAATTTTGTCAAATATTTATCCTGATGAAGGTTCGTTAAGAACTGAAACTGGAAGATTATTAAATTACTTAACCTGTACTGATGGTGACGTGTTGTATTTCTTTATTTCTTTCTTAATATAAAATTTTGGAGTTGTATACATATACCGTGTTTCATTTTCTGTCTTTACTTATTGGATATTGATAATTATATTTTAGGACCAAGTGATGGCAGAACTGAGGCACTATGCCTCAAATGAGAAAGGTACAACAAGGCTCTTCAGAATGCTATTCAATATAGAGGAGATTAAAGGCTGCTCATTGTTTGGTATGAGGAAATGGAACAGAGAGTCTGACGCCAGACCTGCTGGTGCAGACAAGGCAAAACTTAAGTTCTTGAAAGGTAACTAATGAACTGAATGAAAATATCATTTTTGATTCTGCATATATTTTCTGCCTTGGAGTATTAATAAATAAGAAAAGTTTGATTCTTCCATGTCTGCAATGCTGTTTTGTTAAGGTTTAAATCATATCTATGCACTCAACTTGAATATAGAAATATCCAATAGTCATGTAAAAAATAATGTAAGCTAATGTTTTTCATTATTGTAACAATTATTCAAAATATTTGTTTGTTTTAGATTGTGCGCTGAAAAAGTGGCTGACAACCCAAAGGACTGAAATCCATAGGGTGATTCTGCACCTCCTCAAACCGTCCAGGAATAGAAAGATAAACTGAAGATAATAAATGGACTAATGTGTTGCTATTTTTTGAGACAATTATTTCATATGGAGACATTAAAAAGATTATTTTTAAAATTTGTTTGTTTCTCTTTAAGGGTACAGGGTGACTTTTAAGCAGTTTCCAGCTATTGCCACCCACAAGGTGGAAAATTTCTGAAAGGGTGAAAATAGGTGGCATTTAGTGGAAACTGAATTTGCCACTTTGTGGTGGAAAAATGGTGGAAAAGTGTCTAAATACTCCACCAACTTTCCACCCTAATGGTGGCAAAAGCTGGAAATAAGTGGCATTTGGTGGAAAATGAGTTTGCCACTCAATGGTGGCATAATGGTGGAAATTCGTCTAAATACTCCACCATCTTTCCACCATGATGGTGGCAATTAGTGGAAACAAGTGGCATGTAGTGGAAAATGAGTTTGCCACCCTAAGGTGGCATAATGGTGAAAGTTTGTCTAAATACTCCACCAACTTTCCACTCATTGGTGGCATTAAGCGTAAAAAAGGTGGAATTAACTGGAAAATTATATAGCATCAGTCCTGCTCAAATTTTTCACCATTTTCATGATTTGGGTGGCGTTTTGGTGGCATTATTGGTGGAAAATTGTCTAAATACTCCACCATTGAAAACGGTGGCATTTAAGTGGCAAATCTAGGGACGGGAGTTGTTAGATTCATAACATTCAGTCTACCATTCTGCTGAAAAGAATCTCCCTACAGTTCATATAGGTGGAGACCAACTTACAAGGGAACGATTTTCTGGAGCAAAAAATTATGTGCTGCTAGCTTAACTGAGTCTGAAAGATTAACAAATCTACAACCAATTACCTTTGAATTGTTTCATTTGCAAATGGCAGTTTTAACAGCATTTTATCAAATTCTTTATGATACTCAAAATACAGAACAGTTTACTTTGCACTGCCAGAAAATACGTCTTATAAGGAAACAAGCGGATGGTAAAGATGTAAAAAATCATTACGATAGTTGCAAAGACTTAGCTGAATCATTCATCAAAGCCTTTATTGTTGAAGCAGCGTGTGAACATATTGGACTTCCAGACACAACTGTGGTCCCAGACAATATACCAGATTATTCAAGTATGTCTTTAGACGAGATTAAAGTTTGGGTGTCAGAGCAGTTTACACCTATATTTAATAACATTACATCTGTAACAAGAGAGTTTCTGAATGGCACTGATAATCAGCAAAACAATAATGATGGTGTAAACATTTATGCAAATCTAGTTGTTGAGTTGGGTCTCGTTTACTTGGAATTATGCAACATAGTGAAAAGGCCAAACAGGGACAGACTGCTCAGACTGATGAAGTACATAATGCTGATTTTGAAAGGGCATAATAATTATTCAAAGTATGCTTTAGAAATTTTAAGACTTTTGTGTCAGCAGTTTGCACTGCTTAGCGAACAAAGTGCACATGAAGTGATATATGGACTATTTGTAAACACTGGCAAATCAATCATTCCTGCTGATTTACAAATGGAATACATAGTAAGACTTACAAAAACACACCTGCGTTCTATGTGTTCAAATGTTACAGAAACATCATTGAAAAAACGAAGTAGTGCCTTCTTTGGAATGAATGAAGTGTCTGAACATTTGGATGTTGAGACATCAACATTGAAAAGAGCTCAGAAACACAAAAAATTGTCATCACTAGAAGATGAAAAAAAAATCATTACTTGTTTGAGGAGGATTCGCCCTTTCCTACCTGTAATAGGTCGTAAAATTAGCTCACAGAGAAAGGACCCTAAAAATCCTATTTCAAAATTGAATATGGATGATTTGAAGGAATGGATTGAGAGACACAAACTGAACTTTTATTATGAACTGTAATATGTCACATCCAAAGCTGTCATCAATATAAACAACATCCAGTAACAATCAATACATGTTTGAAGAAATTTACAATGTTTACTCAAAATTAATTGTCTGGAAATATTGTTATTCCATCCAATATATACAGAAGCAGGCGTCCATGACTAACACTTAGGTCTTTTTACATAGTGGAAATAAGTCATACAGTTGATCACAAAAAATTGTCAGGAAAGAATTATGCAATGGACATTTAGAAACAAGTCAGAATATAATTGTATGAACAGAACATGTTTTTTACTGAAATCCTTTAATCAGGTACGAAAGAAAAATACAAAAAGAGTCGTGATGACATCATGAGGAAAGAATTAGACATTTATGATAACATTTACACCATAATCCATGATTTCTATGAGAGGCGCAAATCCCAAAAGTAATTGTGACCTGTCACCACGCAAGCAGAATGGTTTAGAAAAAATGAGGTTGGGGAAAAATGATTGCATTTTATGTATTGGAAATGTAATTTGTTATCACTTCTTTACTCATATTATATTTTTATCACAAATTATGCATTACATATTATATAAGACACAGAATTTATTTAAGAGTGAATATTTGGACTAAGTACTTACTCACTTGTTTCAAGTAATATTTAAATGCTTTCTTAAATTGTTGTCTTAAAAGATTACATACAAAATTAGTTAACGCTATCAGAGTCGTTAAATTACTCTATATATATGTGTGTAAATTATATCTCTTTGATCCAATTAAAAATATGTATTTTTCCCAGTAATTATGTAAATGTTAGTTATTTTACAAATTATTGACTCAAGTCAAGTTGGATATATACAGAATAATATGTTGTAGTAGCTTTTTGGGAAAATTTATATGTTTTTAACAAAAACATTTTATATTAAGTAAATCAGATGCTAATTAATACATGTATCTTTCTAAACTTAATCTTGTTAAAAACTTAATGTTTCAGTACTATGAGACATAAAAATCAAAGTTCTGAACATGATTTTTTTTATAATGCATTGACAAATGTTACAACTGGCTATTTGAAACATGTCAGAATTTGTTGGATTATAGTTTATATTTCTTGTAATATTTATTGTGGAAAACCTATATATTGGTTCTTGAACAGATATGGGGAATTTATCTGTCTCTTTGGTCATTGGAATGTTAACTTTAGATGTTCCATAGTCTGTCATGCAAAGTATAAATTACATACATAATATATTATAAAATGATTGTCTGAATCATGTGAAAGAAAATTTACACTTTATATATGATTGAACTGACATGAATATGATTGAATTGATGTGTATATAATTGAATTGATGTGTAAATAATTGAATTGATGTGTACATGATTGAAATGTTGTGTATTTGATAAAATTGATGTGTTCATGTACTACATGTATTTTTTATGCAATCTCATAATGACCATCAATATAAATATTTTAGGGCCAGTTTTTCATCTTATAATTTTGATGATATCTTATATATATTATAAAAATGACTGATGTAAAGTTTATTTCATACAATTTTAGAGGTTTAAATGATAATAACAAAAGATAAGATGCTTTTCGGTTGATGCGATTAATTACACTGTTTGCAAGATGTTCACTTAGTTTGCAGTATGCAAAAACATTTATATTCATTATGGAATGCTGAATGTTATTTAAATTTTTTTAAATTAAATGCTCGAGGAGTAGCTAAAGTAAGTTGGTCTCCACCTATATGAACTGTAGGGTAGCTAATCTGTTTAAAAGAAATCTAGATGTTTATAATTAAAAGTAGTAAGATGATGTATAGTAATAACATACAATCTTTTCAAATAGTATGTGCATTTCATAGAGGATATTGAATGAGTCTTAGTTTATTGCTGAATTTATTGAACAAGTTGAATAAAGTTATATTATGGAAGTCTCTGGCAAATAGAATTTTATCATGCAAGTCTCTGACAACCATAATATTTATTATTCAATTATTCCAATTAATTCAGTTATGAACTTACACAAATGTAATGTTCTATTTATCATATAAATTAAATGTATTGTACACATAAGTAAAGAATCTGTACTTATTACAGAATTGCTAAAATTATTAGCTTCATATTACTTTCCTGTCACATACAAATGTAGCACTTGGCACAAAAGTCACACAAATTGTAACTGTTTATTACAGAAGTAAATTTCCAAAGTCCCATTCTATACTAAGTTCACTTTGGCAGACACTGCAGCAGTTTAAAGGTTTGATTTCTGTGGAAAACCCAAAGAATTCATTAATAACTTCTCTTAAGCATTTTTTTGTCTGGCAGTAATTCTTCATTTCTGCACGTATGTGCTTCACACCAAGGTCACTACTGTTATAGAACAGTATAGCTTGTGCCTGCATGTCCTCTCTCCCAGCCCTTCCAACTTCTTGAACATAGGCTGAAAAGATATTATTTGCATGTTCAAAAGGCTTTGAAATATAATCAGCATCATATACGACTTTCATTTTTGTTCAATCCTGTAATTCATTAATAATGTTGTCACTCAAAACCAAAAATAATATCCACCTTGTAACATGACTGTCATTGACAGCAAATTTTGTATTGATATATCGAGAGACAAATATCGACAATATATTGATATATGAGTATCGACTTTGACAGTAGAGACAATGAAAAACATTTAAATATTGTTATAAATCAGGATCATCATTAATTGGGAATATAGTGTTATGCAAGCTTGTATTAGAATTTACAAATACTACAAACTTACTGTTTTATTCTGTTATTTTTGTCACTGACATTTGAAAACGTAATTTAAAGTTCAAGTTAGCAAAAGTCACTTCTCTTATAAGTCAAAATAGGTATATTATCTAACAGAATTTTGTTTTAGCTTGTATCGATATTTGAAAGTATGTTTCGATATTGCATGGGATGATGAATATCAATGATATATCAATATTGTGATATTCCATGACAGCCCTAACATGTAATAAGTATGTTATTTTATATATATTTTTACATTATTGTTATTTCATTGTGATAATTGCATATATAATTATGTTTTTCATTGATTGTTACTGCAGTGAAATATTTAAATAAAAAATATGTTTTTACATGTTTCAATGATGCAATTCTATACATCTGTTTTCACATCATTGGTAATCCATTTCATACATAAGTTTTTACATGATTGGTAATTAATCATAGTTATTCCATACATATGTTTTCACATGATTGGTAATTTATCATAGTTATTCCATACATAAGTTTTTACATGATTGGTAATTTATCATAGTTATTCCATACATAAGTTTTTACATGATTGGTAATTTATCATAGTTATTCCATACATAAGTTTTTACATGATTGGTAATTAATCATAGTTATTCCATACATATGTTTTCACATGATTGGTATACCATTGAAATTATTTCATACAGTCATAAGTTTGGTATTTCACTGAGGTAAATCTATACATATATTTTGACATGCTTGGTATTGTAATTTAGTAAATGCACTTACATGCTTTTGCATTAGTGATATATGATTGCAGTTTTAAATGAGTTATGTTCCACTTTATTTTTGACACAAGGTTTTAAAACAAAACAGATTTAAAGGGACTCCACTGAGGTTTAAAAGCCTACAAACATAACATTTAAATTTCTTACTTATATGAGCTGGGGTACTTTAAACAGAAATATATGCAAAAATAGTTAAGAAATATACTTTGAAATAAATTGAAAAATGTATTTTTATTTTTTTCTCAGCCCGATTTGAGTTAAAGGCGTTTAAACGCTTTTCGTTTTGGATCATTTTCTTATAATTTGAATAATTATTCTGGAAAAACGAAGTGCGCAAATGATCTGAAATTTTGCACAAAGATTAGTGGTCTAAACCTACATCAAATGGTACATTTATCTGGAAAAAATATTTTCAGTCCCATCATGTCAAAAACCTTAGTGGAGTCACTTTAACATACATACATAATCAAGTGCTACTCTCACAATGTAAAAATAAGATTGAAGTTATTTTTTCACCTCTTTGGCAGCATGTGATCTAAAATCTATGGACAGACATTACATGGTCATGCATGTAATCAGTTTATACATAACATAATTTATTTCAATTTGATTCTATATTACATTATGCCTCTGTAACAAAACAGTAATATTCCATCAGTGTAAATTCTCTTGCTTAAGAAAACAACAGTTTGCCCCCAGGACTTTTTCTGGTATTTTGTTAACATGACCAATACCCGTGGAAATGGGAATTTCAGCTATGTTTTGCTAAAAATTGGGGAAAAATGCATGAATGAAGTAGAGGCAGGCATTTGACTTGTCATCTCATCAGCCTAAGTATATTTGTCAATTAACTAAATAAAACGATATAACTTAGAATGCTTGACATATTGTTTTACCTTCCATTGTTGTAGGCGGTCCTGCATGTATTATCCTACTTATATGCCTTAAGGTAGCTCGCTACTTTCCGACCGAAATTTGACAATATCTCAGATCTTGATGATTTTTGGTATACAGACATGTAGATATGTATGCTTTACTTCTGCAGCATTATTTTATAATTAACAGCGTTACTATGACGTCAAAGCGCCCTCTATCGGTGGTGGCGAAATTGCGTCTTTTTTATCAATAAACCGGTCTGTTCTTATCAATTTTCATCAGATTTCCTTCATTTTAATTTTATAATGTTCAGTAAATGTATGTCTTTGTAACGATGTCTTTCTTGAACATTTGCTTAATACTCTGCGATTCTACGTTATTTTCCCTCCCGTTCTGACGTCCATATTTGATGCAAATATCGCGCGATATCGCAATAAAGATTGTGAAATAATAAAAAATCAACACGGTGAATTTTGCTATAATTTTTTTAACATGTAGTGAAGTCATAAAAGAAAATCTTTATGCAATAAAAATATAGGGTCAACGCGTAAGATATTTTGCTATTACTATTTGAATATAAAATAAAGGGTGAGTAAAACGTAATGATTTTGGTGACGTCAAATATTTTTCTCAAGGAAATTTTCACGACTTTTTCGATAAATATCATACTGACAGGAATAAAAATGTGTGAAAACCATCAACAACAATAGTATTATGACATGTTCCGTAAAAATGTTTTTTTAAAAGTCCTGTCAGATGCCTGCATTTCGATGAATATCTTCAATTATATACATGTACAACAAATCAGGGTAAAACTGCAAAAGTTGGTATCAATCTCTGAAAAACTGCAACGAATGGATATAAATACTTCGAGGACTGAAAGACAATTCAGAATATTGAAAAATATAATTAAAAGGCCACCTAAGTGGAAATTATAAAAACATAAATTTTGCAAAGAATGTCAGAAAAAAAGAATGAAAAGGCTGGTGCAGTCGCAATGTCATCATGTTATGTGTATCCCGGTACAAACTTCCATGTTATCATATGTAACAATTTTGAATTGTATAATTTTTATATCAGTTAGTAGGAACAGAGACATAGATAACATCTATGTCTCTGGTAGGAAATGAATCAAATTTACGTTTCAAAAATATATGATCAACTGGAAGTAGCAACGATTTGTACGTAAGTCATGATTCACTGGTAGTCTTAATTATATTATAAAATCTAGCAGACATTAAATTCAAAAATTTCTACAAGTATAAAAATTTATCTATTAAAAGCCATCAGTTATTCTATTTTCTCTCGCAGCTAAATACCCTGCACTAAGCGTGAGACTCAGATTTAAAGCAGGAATCACGCTCTCATGCTATGGCTTTAATTTCTCACGTATTTCACATAATTACAGATATTCTTATTTATCTTAAACCAGCCGCCCCCCTTCAAACTCCCCAAACAGAAGGGGCCACATCCCCCTTCTGGCATACCCCTCATGTAACATTTGGATGGGGGACGGCGCCGAAAAAGTGGTCACTTTTTTTAACAACATTTCTCAAACGAAAACCAGTGTTTGAGGCCTAAATAGGGCATTTTTTCACTGTTTGAGGCCTGAAAAAAGGGGGGGGGGGCAAAAAGCCGTCGAAACACGCTTATTTGAGGGAAAAGGTTAAAGCAAACTGTATTGTATTAAAAAATGAACACGATAACGTCAACATAATACATTATTCGTATTCAGTGGTAACAAAAGTTGCACAAGTTATTTAATAATTATATTTTGTATTTAATTAAAATATAGTTACAGTATAACCTTTACAGAGAAATGCCCTTTGTTGCCTAGAGTGGTTGCTCTACAGAGGTAAAATGTAGTGGAACTTTTTAGAAATAAATAATACTTTGAGCCCGCTATGTTATACTGTAATGAAAAAGCGGTAATGAATCCGAGTTGAGTAATGGTTATATTGGGTGTTTCACATTCGAGTCTGCAGTTGCGAATATGCTTATATAATTTTTTATTCAGTATGATTTTGCTTCGAAAATAGTTTATAGTTTGTCACACAAGTGCTCATTTTCTAATTATCATGACATTTTAATTAGATTATAATTATATAATCTATGTATTGCACAGACTTAAAAATGGTAAGCAAAAATAAAAATAAAATAAAGGTTTTTGTTTCTTGTACAGGTTGTTTTTAAATATTCTTAAAGGGACTCCACTGAGGTTGAAAAGCCAAACACATAACATTTGAATTTCTTACATAAATGACCTGGGGCACTTTAAACAGAAATATATGCGAAGATAGTTAAGAAATATACTTTGAAATAAATTGTAATCGTATTTTTATGCTTTTGTTAGCCCGATTTGGGTGAAAAGCGTTTAAACGATTTTCATTTTGAATAATTATTCTGGAAAAACGAAGTGCGCGAATGCTCTGAAATTTTGCACAAAGATTAATGGTCTAAACCTACATCAAATGGTACATTTATCTGGAAAAAATATTATCAGTTCCATCATGTCAAAAAACCTCAGTGGAGTTCCTTTAACATATTTGAATATTATTTCTGAATTTTATTTATCACTTATTTCGGCACATTTGTATGCATATCTATTTTAATTGTATTTTTACGATGTATTTTAACACCGAGGCTCGTCTGCCTTTGTGTGATTTTATGAAAGTGTTTAAAAGCTGAATGTAACGTAAAATAAATATTCTACGGGTATAAGCTAAGCAAACTAATATTCTTACTTCATTCATACAGCAATATGTGAATCTTATTTTTTGCGCTGAAACTAGTTACATGTAATTCATATAATAATATAACACTTTAACAACATCACATTATAAAATTAGAATTAAAAGATGTATGAGACTGTGTCCTGCAAATTAGGAAAGTATTTAAAAAGGGATTGTCGGATTAAACATTGTAAATGTGCTCATCTAGCGCATACTTTCAATGAGAAAATTATCAACAATTTAAAAAATATACATTTCATCAAGTCCCTGTGTTGTTTATACTTACTATCGTAATGTTTGACGTAAGAAAATTGTTATTTGGTATTATTCTTTGAACTCCAACATCTATTAACGTCACCAAAATCATTACGTTTCACTCACCCTTTATTTTATTTTAAAACAGTAATAGCAAAATATCTCACGCGTTGACCCTATATTTTTATTGCATAAATATTTTCCTTCACTATCTCACTACACGCTCGGAAAATTATAGCAAAATTCACCGTGTTGATTTTTTTTTATTACACAATCTTTATTGCGATATCGCGCGATATTTGCATCAAATATGGACGTCAGAACGTAGAGAAAAATGACGTTAAATCGCAGACTATTGAGTAAATGTTAAAGAAAGACATCATTACAAAGATATACATTTACTGAACATTAAAAAATTAAAATGAATGAAATCGGATGAAAATTGATAAGAACAGACCGGTTTATTGATAAAAAAGACGCAATTTCGCCGCCACCGATAGAGGGCGCTTTGATGTCATAGTAACGCTGTTTATTTATAAAATAATACTGCAATATTTATACGTTCGCATACAAAAAATCATCAAGATCTGAGATGTTGTCATATTTCGGTCGGAAAGTAGCGAGCTACCTTAAATCAGCACCCATTCCCAGAGCAATAGAAGAAATTACAAGTCGGATGCAACAATCTGTATCTGACTTTTGCAAGGTCTCTAATATCATTTTCTTAAGCTGAAATATTAATTGATTTCTCAATTACGACAACTAATATAAAATATATGTATATGTTTTGTATTCTGCTTAAACAAAGAATTAGAATGAGGTCAAATTTGATATTGAATTTGAACAGCTGATAGAAACAAGTAAACCATTATTTAATCTCTAAATTACTTATAAATATAGAATTTTTAATATCATTATTTTCATGTACTTGCCATTCCATTTCCAGACTCCTTTTCCATTGAAGAATGAAACATGACAACCCTTGCTGTTTCAGGAGAGCTGACTTCTTCATAAAAATTGTTTCCCAGGTACCTTCTTGCCAGCTCATAGCAATATCCAATCCACTGCATAGACTTGCAGTAGATTATTGTTATTGGGAATGAGCCAAGCTTTATTTTAACTACTCAAGAACTGGTTTGAAGATGCCCGTACGAAAATTCCAGCCGTAAAGTAGCAGGAAAAGACACGGAAATTGGACGTAAAACCACTTTTCCAGGCGTAAAACACACGTAATATTTTAAGAGCAGGAAAAACATGAAAAGTATGGGCGTAATCTACTACTACTACTAATGTTCTTCTGTTACTGCTTTGCTACTGCTGTGCTACTGTCACTGCTACTGTTGTGCTTCTGCCACTGCTGTGCTACTGCTACTGACAATTTAACGTTTTATAATTTTGCTACTGCTACTTCTGCGCTACTGTTACTGCTACTGCCATTGTCACGTTTTATAATTTTGCTACTGCTACTGATGTGCTATTGCTAGATCTACTGCCAATTCCACTTTTTATAATTTTGCTTCTGCTACTGATATGCTATTGCTACTGCAAACTTCACGTTTTATAATTTTGCTACGGCTGCTGCTGTGCTACTGCAAACTTCACGCTTTATAATTTTGCTACCGCTGCTGCTGTGCTACTGCAAACTTCACGTTTTATAATTTTGCTACCGCTGCTGCTGTGCTACAGTAAACTTCACGTTTTATAATTTTGCTACCGCTGCTGCTGTGCTACTGCAAACTTCACGCTTTATAATTTTGCTACCGCTACTGCTCACTTCTACCATTGATAAAATATATAACAGACGACATAGATCTACATCCAGTTTCATGATGTGAAGCCCTGTATTATCATTTGAAAATAGTGAATAATCCAAAATAAAATAGGGTCGGTTACTACGGTTACAGTATTTTTCTCGAACTCTATCATTAACATCTCACTGAATGACACTGTAATTTAAATAAAGGGAAATTGCACATTCTTTTGAAACCAAAACGTACAATAAATTGCTTGAAATGTCACCCCTTTGAAAATTGATTAAACTGATAAAATAAAATTGCAAAGATCAACATATCATATTTCATAATGAACACTGGGCTGGAGTCGTATGTCTCTCTGTCATCTCTTTTGAATTAATGAACTAATTTTAGATGAAGCGCATATTATTTACATCAACAAGTCTATCTGAACTATTTTATATTGCTACGTGCGTGCTTGGGTGAGAGAATGAATGCGTGCGTGCGTGCGTGTATTAGTAGGCAATTTAAAAAAATGTTTGCATATAGTTTTCATTTTCGGTAAAGGAATATAAAATCGTATGATCCTGTTTGCCGGTAAAACGAAGTGCATTCACATTTTTCCTGGCCATGATTTTTCATAATAAAAATTGACCCATCTATAATAAAGCGCTGATTTGAAGTAATATATAACTCTGTAGGGCCTACATATGTATAAAATATTGCCCGACCCAAATCCTATCGATCTATAATCGACTACTTTTTATCGTAGAAAGAGTAATTATTAATTCAATTCAATTCAATTCAATCTTTATTTAGCAATCGGCATAAATATGCCTTTGGCCACTTACAAGTAAATAATTATAGAATATGGCCAAGACAAAATAACATATCAATGTACAATGATAATTCAAATGCATATGATTAATCAAACACATAACATATAAACATTACAATACAATGAAAATAAATCTACAATTAAGCACTGTTAATTAATAGTAATTGTTTTTGTTGCTGCTGTTTTTTTGTTGTTGTCGCATTTTGGGTACTTGTTAAAGGCACACTATGCCTTAAGAGTGGTTTGTTTACTTCTTTTCAAAATACTAAATCACTTTAACTTTACTAATTGCCAAAATTCTACAGACGCAAAAGATGACACAGCCATATGTCAAATTAGTATTCTTTAGGATACCTAAAATAAAACGCCTTTGAAATATAAAAATTATGTAGCATTTTTCGGACTGAATGCGTCTGAAGAGTTTAGGTGGTGAAGTTAAAAAAAGAGTGCCTTCATTTTTGTTAATGTTAAATTATGACGAGCTGCTTTATTAAATGCGAAAAAAAGAAGAAATAATTCTGAACATAAACTTCATATTACTTCATAGAAATTATTTTTCTCTATACCTTAACGAAGATCTCCAATTTTACAAATGTAGTTATTTAAACAAACCACACAACTCCCGAAACAAACAAAAACCGAGCGCTACTTGGAGGCAAGGTCATTTCTTTTTCAAATTCATAAGCATATATTTGTACTATATAATACTTGTACAAGCATTAAGCCTCAGAAATGAAGATTTGTTTTCTTTACACACATGTTTTGTATCGTTTTGATGATAAATTTAAAACATATAAGATGTTTATCGCCTGAATTAATAGCTCTCTTTGGTGGCTGATTCGTGCCATTCGTATTTTCGCCTCGCGACCCCTCCAAGCGAAAAGTCGGGGTCGCGGGGCGAAAATATGAATGGCAAAAATCAGCCACCATAGCTCTAAGTGTAAAGGTTACACAAAGTGTTTTTTTTTTTTTTGGCTTCCATACAAGATACATTATAACTATAACTGTTCTAATTGACAAATTTCGAAGAAGTAAAAGAAGGCTCAGGTATATATTATGGTCAATGAGTATTTTTTCATATAACAAGACACATGAATAAAACAAGTTTTTTTTGGTTTTTTTAGATAAAAAATTATAACATCTTTTGGCTTAATGGGCCTTTAAATCACACAAAGTGTGTGATACATGTAATATGAAAGAGCGGCCATTTAAAGATAACCAAGGAGCATCATTCATATGCACACTTAACTTCCTAACATTGGGACAAAGTCCATCAGGAGGTATAACGAGACTTTCATCTATTAACAGAGAAAAATAATGTTTGCTAGTATGCACACACTCACAATCAAAATAGTGAAATATCTAGTAAATATGGAAAAATAAATCGAACACAGGTTTATTCTTCATTTTCGGGTTATGAAAGTTAACTTGTCTGAACCGACTTTGTAACTAAGTTATTGAACAGACGACTGCTCTTAAATCAATAGTTACTAAAGGGGCTATAACTCCACAAAGCCTGGGGAGCCGTTATGTACACATAGTACTGTGACATGTTGCCAAGTTTCATTAAGATGTCATACATATAAAACAAAATAATCAAAATAAAACACTAGAAAGAAAGTGTTATGGGAAAAAAAACTTACGATACAACAAGACATCAAGAGGGAAATTAACATGGCAGAATTTTATAGGAAGACTTAAGCGTACTCCTTTGTCATGAACAGTATTACACCAATAAATAGGTTCGATACTAACTACATAAATAACCAATGAATATCGAATGAAAACCAAAGTTTATAAGTAAAGTCGATCTTGCAAATGCAAAACAATACAAATGATGTTAGTTAATAACGACTTTCGAAAAGCTCGTGACCTTAGCTTCGTATAAATAAACACTTCAATATATATATTTTTACAATACACTTAAACTAAAGCAGCACGCCTCCAGATTCAATCTAACTTTCATGAACATTTTGAAAATGTATTTGAATGTATAATATTGTGAAATTTCCAAAAGGAAGCAATTTACATATTATCAATAGCACTTACAACCCACGTTTATTACCAAAAAAATTTGTCAAAATAAATTATGCCTCACTGCGTAAATAACGCAGTAGAAATATAATTGTAAATACAGAAAAATCAGTCAGTAACCGCACATAACATGTACAATATTACTTGAATCATGAATCATTTTACTTTTCCTAAAGTCGTAGTACATATTTCTCAAAATTGATTTTATTTATATAGTGGCATGCAGCTTTAAGGTATTAAGCGTATTAGATACATAGTTTATGTCGGGCATGAGTTCAAGCCCAACTGATGACAATTTTTTTGTACTTTTTTTTATCTTTATGCTTGGTATAATTGTGGTTTTAATCTTTATTTTATTTATTTTTTTCCCGAAAGATAATTAATAAAGAAATATTTTCAAATTTATATATACTTTTTAGATTTAAATGAGTGTAAATAGGGTAGTTTTACAACTTAAAATATTTATATTTCCAAACCGCGATGATAAACCTCCCTCAATTTTGACACAAATGTTCAGAATTGTATCTAGATAATGATATAATGACGTGCCATTGAAAAGTGACAAATATGAACCCACCCTCTTTCTGTTTTATCAAATTTGACAGATACCGGTTTCAATTTACCTCATTTTTTGCAGGATATGCTTTTCGTTTGCTTTGATTCTTTTAATTTCAAAACTATAGTAGTCTCTTAACACTTCTAAAGTTAGATTAAGAATTTATCTTTTACTGATGAAAACATATGTGTTTTTTGTATTTGTTGTTATTGTTGTTGTTGTTCTTCTTCCTCTTCTACTTCTTCATCCTCCTCCTCTTCTTCTTCTTCACTATAATAAACATTGTTTCAAAAGCCATCTAAAACTTCCCATTATTTACCTTTATCATAATCTATACACAAACACAACGTTTAATAATGTGAACTTTACATCTAATACCATAACTAAACATTTATCGGCATGTTTGCATATTATTAATAAAGAGAGTCATGCAGCCGGTTACATAACAGATAAGAAAATGTTGTCGTCTGCAAGTTAGGAAATTATTTATTGGTGTATGATCAATAGATATAACTGCCTGGTTAGATAATCTACACCGACATTTTTTTAGTTCAACGTAGCGCAACTGCTCAGTGGTGAGATTTTATTATGGCAATTTGTCCGTCGTCATCAGTCGTTGTTCGTCGTTATCAACAATTTGTTTAAGCAGCACCTAAAGCAAAAATCCGACCAACCTTCACAGTGCTTGTCATTAGTTGACCATATACACACATATAAT